ATATCCATCGTTAGTTTTTGATGTAGTGTTCCGTGATTGTGTATAACACCCAGTGCTCCATGCAGTACGTGCCCTCCTTAATACCCATCACCGGGCTAACCCATCCCCCCACCCCTCGAGAGTTCTTTCAACGTGAATTTTGCTGGTGTCACTTTCTCTGGGACATCTTCATCCTTTTCCTCATTTCTGCTAAGTCCTCTTTGCCCGGTCCTGGGGCTGCACACCCGTGTGCCTGGCGGCGGCGGGACCAACACCCCACGGCCGCCTGTTTCTTCTCTGACACCACGTGGTGCGATCTGATTCGGCTGCCAGCGTCCTTACTTTTCATTAGGTTGCTGCACTTCCATCTTTGCTGGCCAGTTCCACGTGTCAGTTAGGACACACGGAGGCAACACAACACACACGTGGCCTGGTGTGTGCCATGAGCCAGGTGATGACTGGCCCCTGCTGGTGACAGGCATCATGGGCTGAGGTGCTGACAGTTAGTTATGGAGCCGGGCAACCCGATGCTGGCGCAGCTCCGCCAGCTGTGGGCACTGGGATTCAGGCGCACTGTGCAAAGGGAGTTGGCCTGTGTATTTAAAATGGAAGAGGCCGGGGCACCTGGGTGGCTCAGTCGTTAAGCGTCTGCCTTCGGCTCGGGTCATGATCCCGGGGTCCTGGGATCGAGTCCCACGTCGGGCTCCCTGCTCGGCGGGAGGCCTGCATCTCCCTCTCCCACTCCCCCTTGTGTTCCCTCTCTTGCTATATCTCTCTCTGTCAAATAAATAAATAAATAAAAATCTTTAAAAAAATAAAAATAAAAAAAAATAAAATGGAAGAGGCCATTTTAATGGAATTCAAAATTTTCTCTTGACAGGTTAATCTCACCCTACAGATGAAAATACTGGAGCAAGAAAAAGAAATCGAAGAACTAAAGAAGCAGCTGAGTCTCCTTTCTCAGGACAAAGGGGCCAAGGATGACGTGAAAGATGGGGGTGTTCCTGTCCTGCCTTAATTAGGCTCTGTAAATGTGAATGTGGACTTCTAGTTCTTGAAGTAGTCAACTGGCATGTAAATGTTGTCTTTGTTAGGGTATAGATGGTATAGTTCTATTTAGTGAGCCTGGACAAGACCTATTAAAGTTGTAGAAGTTCCCTCTACCCCTGTCTGCTGCTCTGCCTACTTGTGCTCGCTCTGTTAAATAAATAAATAAAAATCTTAAAAAAAACCCCAAAAAGCTAAACCTATTTTGCTCTTTTCCTTCTCATATCCCATAGACTCATAAATTTTTTTTTTTTAAAGATTTTATTTATTTATTTGACAGAGATATAGCGAGAGCAGGAACACAAGCAGGGGGAGTGGGAGAAGGAGAAGCAGGGAGCCCGATGTGGGACTCGATCCCAGGACCCTGGGATCATGACCTGAGCTGAAGGCAGACGCTTAACGACTGAGCCACCCAGGTGCCCATAGACTCGTAATTTTTACTATCACTGTCCAGTCTCTGAGAGACTTAGGCACCATCCTCACTTTCTCCTTAAACTCTGCCTGTTGACCACATAGCCCTCCCCTAGAATGTTCTACCGCACAGATCCAGGTATGCGCCCCTACCCCGTCACTGCCCAAGCCCTGGCCTGCATGTTTGCTGGACTGTTCCAGTTGTGACAGCTGCGTGTTAGTTACCAGAAAGACATCTGATGAGTTCACTCCCTGGCTCAAAAGCTGGCTCTTTGTTGCCCCTGAGATACAACTTCAGCTTCTCAGCAGCGCAGCGTACATCATCCAACCTTTCTGTTATCACCTTTGGCTTGGCATCACTTCAGAATCATGCCCTTTCCAAGCTTTGTGCCTCTTGCCCCCAAATCATCTAAAAATCATCTCAAAGTAGCTCTGGTGGGACTGTTCCTGTTTTCGCTCCTGTACTGTTCCCACGGTGTCCCCTTTATTCAGCACTTGACTCCCCACCAACCTACATTCCTTAAAGGCCCTGATGGATACGTTCATTTTTGTATCTCAAAAAATGTCTGCCACATTGCTGGCAGGTGTCCTGGTATACTGCCCACGACGTGGCTGAATTTTAAATAAAGTGAAACCCACAAATTATATGATGCCTTTATTGATTCTAGGCAACTGGCTGAAATAGACTGATTTTAGTACAAGTTCCTTCACCCACAACAGGCATGAAACAGCACCGTTCTCGAAGTCAACCTCTTGCAGTTACTGAAATTCACTTGAGGAGCTTGAGGGCCGTGTGGAAGGGGGCCAGGTTCTCACACGCCCTCATCCACTTCTGCACGTTGGCCGGCACGGTCCCACTACAGCCTCCCGCCTGCTGCAGCACCGACCACAGGACCACATCAGCCACAGTGAGTTCATTCCCAACAAGCCAGGGGCTCTTCCCGAGAGCGGAGTTCATGGAGCGGAACACGGCGGCTTTCTCTTTACTGCTTCCCTCTTGTAGCTGAAAGATCGCTATATCCACCCAGCTATCTATGAGGGTTAGAGTTACAGCATCCTGCTTCTGGCCAAACAGAGAGAACAGGAACCGTGCAATGTTCCCTTCTCCTTCGATGGGACACATTGTTTGGACGCTGAACTTCATCTGAGTCTTCGGCACTGAAAGGCAAGAAGCACACGGTGTATGGTAGCGCGAGCGTCCCTGGGAAGAAGGGCTTCAGCGACAAAGGGGAGTGGGGAGTCGCTGATCACTGGGAACTGGTGGCAAGGGAAAGAATTTTCACGAACATCACGTTTTATCTGTCTCCAAGACATGTATGATTAAGAAAGTTTACACCAGATGTTTACAGAATGCAAACTCTATGTTAAAAAAAGTAACCATTTCTGGTATTTGATTAGGACCGTTTTCAAGCAAGAAGGGACCTCAGACCATCTTTTCCAACCTCTGTGCTTCAGAATTTGCAGGATGAGGACTGGAAACCAGGAATCCCTCTCTACCCTCACAAGGTTCATCTGTGCTCCTTTTCCAGAATTACCCCACACGCTTCCTAGACTCTTAGGGAATTTGACCCGACGGCAAGTAGCCGAAGAACGTCACGGTCCTGGCCCCTTGCTGCCTCTCACTCAAGTCAGGGGGCCCGTCTCATTCCAGAGCCTACGAGCGCAGCCAGTGCCCTCTGCTTACCATTCTTCCAAATCAGAGTAAAACCCAGCTGATACTCGTGACGGGGCTGTTTTTTAGACTGCTCGCCAAAGCACCTGAGGAGGTTTTCCGGCACACTCTGGACTGCGGAGTGCGTGTGAACGGTGGACAGGACCCTGTAGTGATCACACAGCAGCCTGTGCAGCACGAGCAGGGCCAGGGGAGGGGAGGTGGGGTTCGCGTTGATCACGATGTCTTTCAGTGCCCCGTAATCCTGCGGGGAGAAAACCCAAACAGCGAGTGACATGAACAGCCACTTGAGTGCGTGGAGTTGTACCTGGTGCTGTTCTTAGGGCCTAACCAGGGTTGCTGAACAGAATCCTCAACGCCCACTATCACCCCACCTCCCAGCTGAGGAAGCTCGTCCTGGGGAGGCAAATAACCTGCCCAAGCACACTGAGCTGAGGAAGAAGTGCAGCAGGGATGTGAGCTGACTCCAACCCCTTAACCTCTGCACTGCTGGCCCCCACCAAATAAAATGTTGACTTTGCTGTGAAATTAGTAAAACAACACATTAAGAATGACAGTATTCGTTCCTAAGTTATTAAAAAAGAAAACCACACAGTCACTCCATTTATCAAATCTTTCCAACACCTGACCACCTGACAGGATAGTTTCTACATCAATTTGTGTGTGAGTTACGCACACTGTGGGTCAAAATGTCATTGGTGATGGCAAGTGGGCAAAGTCTAAAAAAACTAGGTGTTAACTAAAGGACTAAAACATACTGCCCTTTTAGATGCAGACTTTATTTCATATGTTCGCTCTTAATAACGAACTCCTATAATACCATGGAGGCCAAACTCAAATTCCTTGGCTTTCTGTACACAGCCCACCACGATCGGACTACGAGTCTCACCAGTCCTGACTAAAGCCCGTCACATCACCCTATGATGAATGCTTTGCAATTCTCTGAACACAGCATCACTCAATGCTGTGCCCTGCGACACCCTCCCAGCACCTGAGACACTGGCACAGCTGTGCGTGATCACCAACTTGTCCACCAGACTGGCTCCCTGGGGGCCCGGCCGGGTCTCTGGGTCCTCAGTGCGGGCAAATGTACCAGGTGATCAAAGAACCCAAGTGCAGAGGTGCCGAGGTCACTGGGAGACCCTGCAACTCCGCCTCCACATGTTAGGTCTTCACGCAGGAGCACTTCTACCACCAACTCCAGAGAATTCTTGGGACAAACCCTTTTGTACTCTCAATAACACCACGTAGAAACAAGACATTCTTTTTTGCATATCAGACTGTCACCTAAATTAGCTGAAGCCTGCAGACTGATCTTTAAAGGTGGCGGATGCAACTTAATTCTAAGACTGCAAACCGAACGTAGCAAAAGACGCTTGATCCACGAGGCTGTGGCTGGGCGGCCAACGCTCTGAGATTCAGGCGGCTCTCAGTCAGGATGGACTCACTGAGCCTGAGAAGCACTGAGCTGACACTGGTCTGTTTGTCCTGGCTCGGAGGCTGCTAGAGTGACGCCCACCTCTGGCCTGCATGACACGCCGCCTCGAACGGTGGGGAGCTGTAACTCGACTCCTATGCCTGCCTAGGGATCCTCCCAACTCTTCTCCACCAGGTCTGAGAAGTCAAGCGGCTTTAAAACTTGCTTTGGCTTCACTCATAGCTCATGAATTTATTCTGTGTAAAGGCACAATCACTTAGGGGAGGAAAAAAGAACATGCTCTTTGTACCACCTTTGAGAACTAGAAAACCAAAGCTTGAGTCACAGGAGCACGATTTTCTGGCACTGACAACCACCTAGCCTCTGATGTTCTTTAGCGCACTCCAGATGAACTCACCGTTCCGAGCACTGAATTTAAGTCCAATGCACTGGTCGAGAAAGCAGTGGGCTCATCAGCTTGGATTATGTTGGTTACATCCACGTCTGCATCTGGTGTCTGAATCATCTTGGAAAGGCCATCAACTGCAGCCTTCAGTTCATACAGACGTTTTAAAATATCATCTTGGCGGGACTCAAGAGCTTGAAGAGATGGGTCAGACTCTTCCTAAACAAACCAACATTGAAACGTTCATTTCCTCTAACAAAACAGCAACGTTTAAATTTGATCACTTCTATTGAATTCCATGAATTCATCAAACCCCCCACCTCTGAAAAGATATTAAAACGAAGCAGCAGAATCATCTTGGTTTTCCCACAGTCCAAGAGGTGCTGCAAACTGATCCACAAATGCTTTAAAACAAAAAAAAAAGTGACTGAAAGCCATTTTGAAGTTGTAGGACTCCTATTTAAGAACAGAGCACGGAAAATGAACCCAAATCATTGTTCTTTGTTCTTAATGCCAAATTAGTTCAAAATACTTTGCTTATTTAACAAATAGAAAAAGATGGGGGGGGCAGTGAGAATGTAACTCAGCAATTTATACTAATAGAAGGGAAAATGGGGACCACTAAGGAGGCTGAACAAAATGTGTCATTTGACTTGGAAAGGTAAGTCCATGGGGTCAGAAGATCAATTCCCCACATCATTCTCAATGCAGTACTGGCCCTCTCGTATCTTAGAATCATCCAGAACTTTTTCACTGCTGAAATGTAGAACTTCCTAAGTATGGAATGCTTATGTCCTTCGTTCACTGAATCTTTGCATCTTTCTTGCCTGGTATACTGACTGCTACACAATAAGTAACCAATAATATTTGCTAGGAAAAAAATCTCAAATCTTTACACACTTACTTTAAAAAGCACTAACAAGAACCCTCTTGATAAAGTCACAATGTACAACCTATTTCCAGATTCATTAGCTCTCATAACGGATAATCCATTTTGAGCCCAGAGAAGAATATGTTAAGTCCTAACCAAACAGAACCGTCCATATGGCAGGGACCTCGAGTTGTCTGTAAATATGCCGGTGTAGGTACATGCTGGTAAGCCGGATGTCGCACAACACCGCCCTTTCACAGACTCAATGCATCACCAAGTGCTGTCCATTTTCTGGAATCCACTGGCTTCAAAGCTTGCCTACACTGTCACCGCCCAAGTTCAAGACACCACTTTTCACCTGGTCTGCTTCCACTGGCCACCCCTCCAATCCACCTCTAAAACGGCAGCCAGAGAGATTAAAACAAATATGGATCCCATCCCCCACCTCCATGTTAACCTAACAGGCTCTTTGCCGAAAAGGCAAAGCCCTTAACCTGGCTTGGGAAACAGCCTGTATGACCTGTTCTCTGGTCATCTCCTCTCACATAGTGCTGCCCGCTGGCTGTGCTGTCCTTTGGGTCCCTAAAACACACCATGCCCCCACCTGCCACGGGGCTTTTATTCTGTTCCCTCTATCTGCGACATTCCTCCCTCTTCTCCTAGAGCTTAATCTGCACTTTCTCACCTCCCCATGCCTGCCGCTCAAACAGCAAAGACATGAAGATGACTGACCTGTGGGTGGAGCAAAGAAGCATGAAGACTTCAGTGTGCCGAGGAAACAATTAGGTGCCGACCAGAGTAAGTCTGAATGCAAAATGTGACATGCAGGGAGGGGTACTAGTGTGTGGTATCCTTCTGTTCCTCAGTTGACAGTCCTCAAGGAGCATGCCAGTCACCTCTAGCCCGCCTGATTTGTGCCTTGTGTGTGCAAGAGCTTGCTCAATTCTACAAATGGCAGTAGGGTCCCTGACGTACCCGGGTAAGGAAGTGCCTACTGGATTCCACGCCTGAGTCAACCCAGTAAACAATGCATGAAACGAATGCATTCCTACCGTGGCCTGTGACTGGTAGCCCCGCACAGCTTGATTTTACCTGTCTTGATGTGAGAAATGAGGAAATGCTCAGGATCTGCTCTCCCTTGTTTTCCTGCTCAGATTAGATCGTGACTTGGCATATTGTGTTTATCCATTTTATTTTATATGTATTTTAGAAGCAGTTTATTCTTTGTGTTGCTCCTATTTGCCTTTGATATGCTTGCTTTCTAATTATCTGCCTATATTGTTATCATCAAAGGCCAAGAGAGTTAAGCAGCACACCAAAAAAAAAAAAAAAAAAGGTCTCAAATGAGATGTGACATTTCCAACTCTGGGTCTGGGTTTTGTTTTCAGTTCGGTGAGACTGTCCAGTTGAGCAGCACTGGATCATCATGCTATTTCTGTCTTAGTTCCCTAGTGAGACAACTGTATCATTGTTTGCCAATTAACCCAACCACCTGCCTTCCAATCTACGCAGAAGACTTTAGACAAAGTGAAGGAGGGGGCCCTTGGGTGGTTCAGCCAGGCCTCCAACTCTTGATCTCAGCTCAGGTGTTGGTCTAGAGTTGTGAGTTGAAGCCCTGCATTGGGCCTGGAGTCTACTTAAAACGAAGAATAACACCCCAAGGGAAAATGGACTACAAAAGTTACTTGTTCCCTCTTCAGCCAGAACGGACCTAAGGTTGTAAACCCAAGATGTGTATTTGCAGCCAATAAAAATTGGGGCTTGGGGCGCCCCGGTGGCTCAGTCGGTTAAGCGTGTCTGCCTTCAGCTCAGCTCCGGTCATGATCTCAGGGTCCTGGGATCCAGCCCCACGTCGGGTTCCCTGCTCAGCGGGGTGCCTGCTTCTCTTTCTCCCTCTGCCTGTCACTCCCCCTGCTTGTGCTCTCTCTACTAAATAATATCTCTAAAAAAACAACCAACCAACCAACCCAGAAAGACTTGGGCAGACACTTTACAAAAGAAACAAGGCGCTCCACTGACTCATAAGTCTGGAAAACCTGACCTAAAACTACATGAGGCTCCCACAGTCCACCCACCAGCTTTGGGGAGGGTGCAAGCACCAGGAATTCCGTGCCCACCGGCCGAGGAGCATACAAACCTGCACACACGCCGCTCTGGGAAGTGGTTTACCTGGTCCAGGTGAAGACGGCCCACCCCCGGGAGCCGGCAATCCCAAGCCCCCAGCCCTCCGGGCACGCCCCAGGCCAGCCCGTGCACGGGAGCGCCCACCACACCACCGCTCGCCGCAGCGCCGACGCAGAACCGCCCGCAGAGGCCCCGGGAGCCAGGTCAGCGGAAGGCAGCCCGACACAGCGGGGCGCAGGACGCAGACTCAGGACACACTGACCGGGGAAGCCGGGCACTCGGGGCGCTGACAACGTCCTGTTACCCTGGGTAGCAGGGGCAACAATGGGGTTCGCTTTAGAGTTCCTCACAATTAGCATTTACGTGCCCCTCACTTTTCTGTCCCTACAATTTGGTAGAAAAGCTTTAGTAGCCATAAGCGGGAAAGGAAGTAGATACAAGAGGAATAGCTCTTTTAATAAACTCTGCGCGCACACGGAACTGGCGAGAGCGTGAGTCCGAGGTACGGCAGCCAGGTCGGACGCCAGGGTTCGAGCCTCCCAACCCCACGGGCCCGGCCGCGGCGCCTGCGCGCTGGGCGGGAGGCGGGCGGGTGAGATTAGGCGCCTGCGCACTGGACAGGGTGGAAAAACTTACGTTCAAGCGGGTGGGGGCGGGGCGGGCCGCGCGCTCCTACCTGCACGTGGCCTGCGTCCGGCGCGGGGCCGCCTGTCCTGCCGTGCACGTTGGGGAGCCGGTACATGCAGGTGGGAAGCTCTACACGGAGAGACGCGCTGCCCCCGTGATAGGGCTTTACCTGGTACATCGGCATCGTGGGAGCCGAAGGACGGAAGGTGGCAGGTGAGGGACACGAACACTCAGAAACCGTCCGAGACCACGAGCGACTGCGGCCACCTTCTTTCCGATCCGGCTGCGGCCTTTCGGGAAAGCGCAGTCCGTGTGGTCTAATTGGCTCGCGCCCTGTGGACGTCACGACCTCGACTTTTTACACAACCAATCGGCAAGAAGGAGGAGTGGGAAGCGCCCGCTGTCCCATCCGGAAGGGGCGGGGCACAGTGTCGGAAGCAGCCAATGGGCGGCAGGAAGCGGAGTCCCCGTGGGAGCGGCGGCAGAAACTGTCCCGAGTCCCGGAGGCGGGTCAGGTTCTGGATCCATGGAGCGGGCCGAAGGGCCGAGGTGAGCGGTGCGTGCAGTGTCCCCTCGCGGTCGCCCTCCCTGAGGCCCACGGCGTTCCAGACCCCGGGAAGGGAGGGGAAGGAGACCGCGGCGCTGGGCGAACCCGCTTGGAGGCCCCGGAGCGGGCCCCTCGGCGCTCCCCGGATCCGCTGGCCTTTGGGGGCGCTTTGCGGTCGGGGTGGGCGGGGAGATCCGTCCCGCTCCCAGGCAGGCTCTGCCCAGACATCTGGACGCGTCCGTGGACTGCAGCCGGAGCACGACATCCCAGGAAACTGAACTCATTTCCTTTCTACCTGGTTTCTTTCTCTTTTTTTTTTTTTTTGAAAATTGAGGTTATTTGGGGGAGGCTTCAAGACGCATGCTAATTTGCGTAGCCGCACAGTTTTTAAAAATGCAGAACTTTTGCATCCCCTTGAGTATGTCACTGTTGGCTGGTAACCCAGTTCGGAGGGGCGAATCTCCGGCTAGCGCTGCTGCGTTCAGTGTCAGGTTCCTGAACCCAAATTCGCTGTCCGTGTGTTTAAATGTTTGATCCCCCGTCCTCAAAATAAATATTGGAAGTGGATTTGTGGCCTATGGTGTGTTGCCAAATAAGCAAGTGTCAGAGAAACTTCTTTCCATTTTGTGTTGTCATCTGCAGTTTTCTTATTTAAGAAAAACCTGAGTGAAATTTTTTGCAAGGTAGAACGAAGAGTAAAGATGTTTGTTGCTTATTTTATAAGGGTTTATTGAGGGTCTGCTGTGTGTTAGCAGTTGTGGGAGGCTACCCAAAGATTTCTCTCGCAGGGAGGCTCCTGGGTTCCATTAAACCCACATTACCAATTAAGCCGCTTACAAGAAATTGCTAAATTAATGAACATAAGGAATGCATTTTTGGGATGAGCAGGAGTTTGCCAGGCAGAGGAGGAAGAGGGGAACGGTCTAGACAGACCTGTATAGACAAGTTGCAGTGTCTAAAAGAGCTTGTGATATTCAGGAAACAGTTTGCTGTGACTAGAATATAGGTAGAATTGGTGAACAGAGGATTGGAGAGAATGAGAGAAAAGTAGACTGGGGTCTGGTTTTTCATATGACTAGATTTTCATATAGCAGACAGTGGAATGCTAGTAGATGTTTTTTTTTTCTAAAGTGTATTTTTTTTAGTAATCTCTGCACCCAATATGGGGCTCAAATCCAGGACCCCGAGATCAGGACTCCCATGTTCCTCCAAATGATCTAGCCAGGCACCCCTATGCTAGTAGATTTTTTAAGCAGAGAAGTTATTTGTCCAGGTTTGTGATTTCTAAAGTAACTGGTGGTAGCATGGAGGGTGGTTTGGAATAGGGAGAAAGTAGAAACAAACTGGTTGTATAACCCTTTAAGTAGGTACGGCAAGAACTTTAGGGGTTTTAGCCAAAACAGCAGTTGATAGCCTGGATTTGGAAGGGAGATTCAAAGGCTCCTGTGGAAATAGTTATATAACAGGTACCCAGTTTCTAAGATGGTTTTGATTTTCACATAAACACTGTGTATTTCCTACCATACCCTTGGGTTTTCAAATCAAGTGAGAAGTGTTGCTTTCACTTTTCAGAAGAAGATCCCATTGTTGCCAAAGATTATTGACCCGTAGGTTCAGGGGTACATGTGTTTCCTCCTTGTAGATCCCAGCATAATTAAATTTCTAAATATCCATTGCATTGGAAGTATCTATTCAGAAGATTTTTTTGACAGAAGTGTAAGACTTGTAGGACAACATTTATATTTGTGAATGTAATAGATGGATATGTTAATCTAATAAACGAATGCGTTAGACACATTAACTATTAACAGAGATGAATCATTTCCTGCAGTTAAAACCAGGATGAAAATACATAAATCCATACTCACTTTGTTTCTTGTAACTGGTGTCTTTAGTACAGAACTTGCTAAGGCCATCAAACCTATCGATCGGAAGTCAGTCCATCAGATTTGTTCTGGACAGGTGGTACTCAGTCTAAGTACTGCTGTGAAGGAGTTGGTTGAAAATAGTGTGGATGCCGGGGCCACTGCTATTGGTAAGTTTGGGAGAGTTTTAAGCCACAGGGAACCATCAGTTTATACTCTTTTATTCAAGAAACATTTGTGATTGTAATGAGACAATCAAATGTTGGTATCCTGAGAAATTTTATTTTTTAAACTTAAATTTAGCATCTCTTGGGTACCTAATACTTAGGTGGATAGTAGTAATAATAAAAGCAGTTAACGTTTATCGTGTTCTTACTAATGTGCCACATGGCTATTTTTAAGATGCAGAACAACCTTATGAGATAGGAATTATTGTTGTTGTTATATTTTATCTGTTTTACAAATAAGAAAATGAAGGCACAGGAATTTACTTTTTTTGAGGTTCTACAGCTAGGATAATATTCTGGGAAGTCTGATTCCATAGCCTAATCTCTTTAATGACTATGTTAAAATTACCCTTTTGAAAGAGAGAGAGGAAGGAAGGAAAGAAAATAAAACTATTTTATCTGGGTTAATAAAATGCCAAGAAGACCTTTAAAAAAATGAAATATACCAAATAACAGTAGTACATTGAAGTGAATATAGTTATGGCTCATCTTTGCATCAGGTAAGTTATAAATAAGTACTGTCAGTATAAAGGCTTTTAATGCATCAGTTCTTTGAGAAATTAATATGTTATTAAACTTTTCAGATCTAAGGCTTAGAGACTATGGGGTGGATCTCATTGAAGTTTCAGACAATGGATGTGGGGTAGAAGAAGAAAACTTTGAAGGCTTAAGTAAGTTGGATTTTTCTAATCCTGTTTTAAAATATCTGGGCAAAATGTTTCAAAAACTTTGAGTAACACTGTCTTAGGAAACACAAAATGACTTTTTAAAAACCAGTTACTTTGGTAGGTATTGTGAATATTCAGTGGCATATCACTTGAGACATCTTGGGTCTTACTGTGCACCTCTCTTTCAGCTCTGAAACATCATACTTCTAAGATTCAAGACTTTGCTGACCTAACTCAGGTTGAAACTTTTGGCTTTCGGGGTGAAGCTCTGAGCTCACTTTGTGCACTGAGGTGATACAATATTTTTGTCTACTAACTTGACCCCTTATAAAAATCTCTCTGAAAATGAAAACGTATGGATTAGAGTCATTGCTTATACTTTTCCATCCTGAAATGCCTCAAGCTCTAACTTCCACATTCCGTTTTATCTTACTGCCAATCTACGTGGTAATACTTCTGAAATGTAAGCAATGAAGCGAAGTAAATAGTCTTGTAAAAGAATTGTTGCCCTTGTTAAAGCAGTAACTTCTCAGTGTCAAATAGCACAAAGACTATAAGTTACAGACAGGTCGGTTTTAATTTATTAAAACATTTAGGAAAAAATTTAACCAAAGTTCTTATTATATATAACAGATTCTAAATTTATATGAATAATTATTTATACATTGGAGCTATAATATTTTTTGGATCCTTGTTAAAAATTGTGTTAGAACTGTAGGAATAAAACTGAGAAATACATCTTTATTCGTTAATATGTAAGCTTTGAGATCTTTTGTTTTGCAGTTTATCCAAAAAACAAATATCGAAGCTTTTATCAAAACAGAACATTTACAGAACTCTCTGTCTCACTGTCTGTTAGGTGCGAAGCCTTAGATTCTACGATGACTCCTCACTCATAGAAACTTTCTTGGATGATCTCAGAGGGATCAGCATTTTTTCAGGCGGGGTTTTAGAGAACAGAAGTAAGAAAATGAGCATGTGATGCCCAGCACCTGTGAATTTCTGACCCCGTGGCGCCTGCTCTCTCTCACAGTGATGTGACTATTTCTACCTGCCACACATCGGCGAAGGTCGGGACTCGACTGGTGTTTGATCACAATGGGAAAATTGTCCAGAAAACCCCCCACCCACGACCCAGAGGGACGACTGTCAGTGTGCAGCAGCTATTTTATACACTGCCTGTGCGCCATAAGGAGTTTCAAAGGAATATTAAAAAGGTACAGTAAATCCAGAACTCCAGCTTCCCAGAGCCTTGGTGGTGTAATGTACATACGTAGTAAAAGATCCCCCACATGAAAGTAAACTGAAGTTAACTCCTCAGTGAATTCTCTTCCCTGAATTTTTTTGGGAAGTGCTTAGTTTGCCTTTTCCCACCAAAGACTGAACTTCAGGTTGATTTACTCCCATCAAAGCACATTTATTAAGCGTTCTAACATGGGAATGGGTTCCTTAAGAAGTAACATATTTTAATTTTATCTGTAGTTTTGTTTGTTTTTATTAAAGATTTTATATAGAGAGAGTGTGTGCACATGAGCAGGAGGAGGAGCAGGAGAGGGAGAGAGAGAATCTCGAGCAAACTCTGTGCTGAGTGTGGAGCCCATTGTGGGGCTTGATCTCACAACCCTGAGATCGCAACCTGAGCTGAAATCAGGAGTTGGATACTCAACTGACTGAGCCACCCAGGTGTCCCCTATCTGTAGTCTTTTAATAAGATTATTTTTCTTGGTTTCCTGAAAAATGAATTATTACAACTTTTATGAATTTGAATGAAAATGAAGTAGCTACGTGTTATATAATTGTGCTTAAAACAGTTATAGGGACACCTGTGTGGCTCAGTCGGTTAAGCCTCTGCCTTCGGCTCAGGTCATGATCCTGGGGTCCTGGGATCAAGTCCCCCATCGGGCTCCCTGCTCAGCAGGGAGCCTGCTTCTCCCTCTCCCTGCTGCTCCCCCCTGCTTGTGTTCTGTTTCTCTCTCTGACAAATAAATAAATAAGATATTCTTTAAAAAAGTAGTTAAAAAC